TTCTTTTTATTTTGACTTTAAAGCAGACCCCTGTGTTCTGAATTTGATTGGAACAAAAACACTGGAAAACAGGGTGTTAAATCTTTTCTCCTGTATTGTTTCCCAGTTCTAAATTCCCAGCCTTCCACCTTTCAAGTGGATTAGAAACACCAGAACCAGGGGGCAGAGATGAGACAAGTGATTTTGGGGGAATATAATTATCAGAATAAACCAACCTGCACCACCAGTTCTTTGTGGAGCTGTCGTCCCCAAAAGTAATTTTCCCCATCTTTGGACCAGGTGACCTAAGGCAGCTGATGCCAGAGCTATTTCCCAGACTTTAAAAAAATGTCAGGCATAGTCCTCTGAGCAGCATCAGATGACTAGGTTTATCCATCCTTTTAATTTCCCACAGTAGTCTTGAGTCTTGACCCAGCTGTGTTCTGAGACATTAGAAGGATGCCTGGATACATTCAGTCAGCACTGTTTGGGTTCCTGTCAAGACACACAAATAAACCCACTGTAGCGGAATGCAAAAGGCTGACGTCATTCCTGCCTGTCCATCACAGCACCTCAAGGGGGAGGAGCTAAGGATAGAGCAGAATGGGTGGAGCCAGGGAGACAGTTTAAAAGTTGGGGAGACAGACAGTTAGGGACAGTTGGATATGTGGAATGAGAGTTAGGGTTTAGGAGAACGAAGGAGAGGGTTAGTGAATTGAGAGATACTGATTGAAAACAAGATATTGATTGACAGCAAACATGATCCATATGTATTAACACCTGAAACAATTCATGTGTGATTTACGTACCTTTTGATTTGATTGACAATAAAAGATTATTTAATTAAAACTCTGCTTCCTAAATTCTATCACCCTTAGTGTTGGCAGCACCTGTGACATAAGTTGGTATTAGGAGACTACCTGGTGGCAGCGTGAAGGGTGTGTACCTTTGTGAGGTCCAAATAAATAGGGGCAACAAAGGGCAGATCACCACACCCACCAAGGCCCATTTGGAGAGAAAGACCATCCATCAAAGACCCTGAATGCTCTGAAACCTGAATCCAGTCCTGCTGCCTCATGGGAGAAAAACCTCAGAGCAGTTGGGGAGATAGTAGCCAGAAAGCATGGAGGAGAGATCAGGATTTAAGGTGTAATATATAGTTTAGCCCGGAGAATATAGATGTCGGGCAACACTAGCCTAGGTTATCCCTAGAAGCAACTATTAATATTTTTGTAAGTATTAAAACACATTAAAGGTCTAGGGGAAACAGATTAATGACATACTATTGCACAGAATGCTGCTAAGAATTTACAGATTGACTCTAGGAGTTATAAAATGGCAACAGAATTCATAACTAGCTAGATGTTTTGTGAATCTTGGCAGTTCTCTCAGACCTATGAACCATCTGATAGCTCTAAATGCAGAACTGCAAGTGTAACATATTAACACTTGCTGTGCTTGTATGTCAGCATGTCTGTCCTCACTAAAAATAGCCATTAGGAATGGCTGACCCATTTGATCACTGAGCCTTCCATGTGGCCACCTGCTTATGTTTTTGATGTTTCAAACATGCAGTACCTGATTTAGAAGCAGGGTCTGGTACTAGAATATGTGACATCTGGAATAAGAAGAGTACATGCTGTGGATTAATGGTGATTAAACATTTAAGGAGAACAATTTAAGTAGCTGATTAAAATGCACCACTTTCCTGCATTCTAGGTTTGTATGGCAACCTATATGGAAAACAAATCTGAGCAGATTTTCATCATGTATCCAGTGCACTTCAAACAGAAATTTTATATTGACCTTCTGCTCTCTAACTAAAGAATTGGAGTCTGTTATGTTGTTGTTATATGCTGTCAAGTCGCCTCCGATTTATGGTCACCCTATGAAAAAGCAATCTCCAGAATGTTCTATCAACAGCCCTGCTCAGTTCTTAGAAACTCAAGCCTGTGGGGTTATTTTTGTCAGTCCATCTCATATGTAGTGTTCCTCTTTTCCTGCTGGCTTCCACTTTTCCCAGAATTGTTGTATTTTCCAAATAATTATTCTCATTATATGCCCAAAGCAGGGTAACCTCAGCTTCAACCTTTTTTGTCTACAGACATAGTTCATGCTTGATCTGATCTAGGACCCACTTGTTCATCTTTCTGGCAGCCCAGGGTATCTACAAAGTCCTTCTCCAGCACCATATTTCAAGCAAAGTGTTTTCTTAACTGTCCAGCTTTCACACCCCTATATGGTGAAATATAAAATCAGAAATATATTTAAGAGTTTGGGGTTTAAACTATGTAAAGTGTGTGCTGCACAACGTAGCTACAGATTGCTCTGCATCTGCTGAAAAACAATGCACAAAGCTTGCAGATTCAAAAGAAGGATCGCTACACACAGTTACAGTAATGGGATGTATGAAAGTTGGTCTCGCTTGGGAATGATATTTGTTTTTCTGTGGGAATCCCTGTAGAATTATCATGGCCTATTGATTTCCACTACTTTATGTGGACTTCTGGTAAATGCAGAGGCAGCCTTGCCACTGAACATAGTAAACTCTGTGCAGCAGAGATGGAAAACCTACAGCTCTCCAATGATTGTTGAACATGAGCTTCCATCAGCCCCAGTCAGTGTGGCCCAAGAGCAAAAGTGGTGAGTGTTACAATCCAACATTTGGAGAGAGACAGTTCTCTCCTCCTGATATATAATTTCTCCTGAAAAGGGGAATAGCAGATTATATTCCCATTCAACCATTGCTCAAAGTTGATATTCTGGATTATTATGCATGCTTAGATGGAAATAAATAAACCTCAATAGATTTACTGAGTGAATACAGGACTGCAATGAAAAAGACGGTCTTAGAATTGCATTGCTTAAAAGGACTCCATGGATCGAGTCCAGCCCCTGTCAAGGAAGCACAGTGGGGAATCAAACTCCCCACATCTGGGGAGTTGTCTTGCTTGCTTTTGTCTTGCTTGCTTTTGGTTGTCAAGCTTAGAGGCTGCAGAATTAAATAGTAACAAAGAAGGCTAATTTAACTGTTGCTCACGAATATAATTTTGTACAAGAATATGATTGCTTTCTTGGTCAAAAAGATTTTTTAAAAGTTACATTATATGACTAATTTACAAGATTTGCAGATGCTTAAATGTATTCATTTTTTTAAAAATCAGAGCATTAACATGTTAAAACACTTGCATGTTATGGGGGAGTTTTATATTTTAATCCACTCTAATAATAATAATTTAACATGAAGAGTATAAAATGCAGCTGATCTTCACAGAAACTGCTAAAAGGTTGAAAGAGAATTTGGGGAAAAGGTTCAAAAGACCAAATTATATGCTCCTTTCAGCTGAATTTATTATAAAGCTGATGTATGTTTAAGGTAATAGTAGCAAAGCCCTGCATCCTATTCAAGTAACTTCCACGTCTGCACTACACCTGGAGCAGAAACATACCAAGATCATAATAAAACTCATTTATCAAAAGCATTTTTTGCATCGCTTTGTGGCTGTTTGAAAATATATTTTTGAAAATCCTGAAAAGAATTTGGAGCAATGCTTTTAATGCAGGTATTCCATCATCATAATCGTATCTGTCAATACGTAGTATTCAAGACTTCCACACTAACTTAGCCTTGTAAAGTAATTCAGTTTTTCAGTTTAAAACCAATTTATTTCAACATCTGCCCATTTCAAAGCCAGGGACCATAAGTTTGTGCAAGATCTGGAATCCTATTACAGTCACCAGCATAATCTAGTTCATGTAAATCTTGGTGGCAAACTGCTGCAAGTTAAGAAGCTGGCACAGGCATTTACTGTCTCGCACTGATTATACTGTTGTTTTTAAGTGCTGTCAAGTCATCCCAGACTTAGGGTAACCCCAACAAACAAGCAATCTTTAAAATCTCCTGTCCTCAAGAGCCCTGCTCAGTTCTTGCAAACTCAAACCTGTGGTTCCTTCAGGGAATCAATCCATCTCATATTTGGTTTTCTTCTGCTGCCGCCTTCAACCTTTCCCAGCATTATTGTCTTTTCCAGAGAATCCCGTCTTCTCATGATGTGCCCAAAGTAGGTACCCAAACTGATTGTGTTACACCAGCATAAAAATGTAATGGGATTCTAGCTAGTGATTCCCAAACGGTGTTTTGAAGGCATGTACGGTATCTTGAGAAATCACACATCCATCCCTGCCTGTCGCCCAGAGCAAGTCTGCAATGCTGGTACCCTCTTGCTATGACAATATGTGGCCAACGACATCAGCCCAAGAAAGAGAATGAAAATGCATCACCATTCCTTAACCCAGCCTATGCCATAGCTAACATGAAGAAGAGGGTGTCCTGAAATCACCACCATTGCAGAAATGGCAGTCTCATTCCCCAAATATTTAGAAAAAAGAGGACAGCTCCCACTGCTGATATGTGTATCATTTACTATGAAATAAATTTTGATCCAGAAAAAAAAATACATCAGAGCTATCAGCAGTGTTTTCAAAGCTAAAACTGCAGTCCTCTGGCAACTTACTTGGGAGTAACCCCCTTCTATTCGATGAAATGTACTTCTGAAGAGGGGGAAAATACAATTCAGCCAGAACAAATTCAATAAACTGGGGGTAATAAGTAGGAATAGAGAGCAGAACAATAAAAATACTCACACTTCAGTTTAATGTGCCATGTAGGTTTAAACGGGGTAAATGGTAAAATACTATTTATAACCAAGATGTTCCATGTGGAGATTTATGTTATGTAACCAAAATATACCAACAACATCAATTTTAAGGTGAAAGTTCCTAAGTAAATGTTAAAAGGAATCATTTAAGGAAATGTAATTCTTTATCGATATACTTCACCAGTAAATGTTAAAAGGAATCATTTAAGGAAACGTAATTCTTTATTGATATACTGCACCAGGAGCTATGTAATCTGTGATTCTGCGTTCACAGTTTATAGAGAACTCTGCATACATTTTAATATGGCACTAGCTTTTAATGTAAAATTTTCAGGCAAATTATAACAATAAACCAAAGGACACACTTCTTTATATTAAAGAAAACTGCTCTTTATTGTAAACAAGGTATAAAGTACATTATAAGAAACACTGTGCAAAAATTTTAAAGTAGTCAGAAAATAGATATTACACCATTTTACTAGCAGCTCATTCTTCTCCGCTATAGTAGAAATGGGAGAGAAAAATGATGCAAAGATCACGGTGTACCCACAGGGTTAATTTTTCAATTCAATCCTTTTTCTTCTTCTTGCACAAGCCCACATTTCCCAATTTTAATACAGCCTAAACTATACCTTCAACATACTAAGGCCGCTTATACTCCTATTACGACTTATTTCAGAAAGTAACATAGCATGCTACTCTTGTCTTTCCTTCCTCATAATCTCCTATAAGATTATATTTTAAACAAAGTGCACTGTACCAAGTTTTTGAACATTTGATGGCATAGAATTTGAAAGTATAAATGTAACCCTAAGCAACTTAAAAAGCAGAAGCATCAGAAGATGCTGAAGTACAGTAAATGGTAATAATGATGTTTTCAAAATAAATAGTAAGATACTATTAGATTTACATGTCAGAATAAGCCAACCATGTAACATCTTACTCATTCATATACTTAACAGATATTCAGAACTGTTATAATTACTTTAGCTAGACTTGATATGCTAGGGAATGGAGATAAACAAGTCTAATCTCAAGAAGTTGGTAAGAACCAAACTTCCACTATAATTCACAATTGGGTCTTAAAAGAATGAAACCAAACATTCTCCTGCTTAAAAAGAAGATGCAGCTTACTGGTATAGAGAAGGTGTTATCCCTGATTCTGTGCTAGAAATGAGTAATTTTTTTCTATGTTTTGTTTACAGCTTCTCTGAATAGATTCTCAAGACCTAACACCTGTATAAAGCTCTCTGGCTTATACCTGCTGATCTATAGTGCATATGAATTCTTTCCAGATGCATAAAACCTTATTCTTGGACTGTCATGGACATTTCTATTTCTCCCTTCCTCGGGTACAAGAAAGACCTGCAGTCACCAACACTCCTGGGAGTACAGTGTGCCACTGCCTCTTTCTGAGCCTCCACCAGAGGCTGATACTAGAACCAAACTTGTTTCCCAAGCCGTTTCCCACACTGTTGGCGTTCCAGTCACAGTGGCTACAGTGAGTTAACCATGTCATCAAAGGATTTCCTTTCACTGTGCAGGTGCAGAAGGAGGTGGCACAATAATATCATTCAACTTGCTCACTTCCATTTGCCAGTTTGGTAATTTCTTGGCTGACAAGTGCCGACGTGCATGTTTTGTTAAGTGGTCACTCCTCATGAATCGTCGATTACACATTGGGCAAGCAAATTTTTTCTCACCAGTGTGTGTTCTGCGGTGGCGAGACAGTTCATCGGAACGGGCAAATCTCCTCTCACAGCCTTTCCAACTGCAGCTGAATGGCTTTTCTCCTAAAATATGGAATGTCAAAAGGCAGAAGCGTGAGCATTTATTTAATCACAGCAATCATACAGATCTGTATCTATTTACAAAGAGATATGATTAACTGCAATGTTTACAGAGTCAAGACAAAATCTTATAGAATCAATGTCATCACTGAGAGAGAGAGAGAGAGAGAGAGAGAGAGCATTTATATTTCAATTTATAAACCTTCCCTCTTACTTTACTTCCCAACAATGGATAAATCACTTTCCTAGTCTTTTGGTCTGGTTGTGGGAGAAAGAGCTTGCAAGATTCTAAATAGTCAGAACTAATTGTGCTACTTCTCCCGAGTTGCATGTGAAAAAAAGATGCATAAAACCTCCACGTCCCCACATTTAGGAATCAACAGCTATTTAGAAGAACAAAACCAGTGACAATACACGTAAGCTTGAATTTTAGTAATTGAAAAAATTAAGTTGCTCATTTTAGCTGCAATCCTAATCACATGTTCCAGGAGTAATCCTCTCTGAACTCAGGAAGTCATGCTTCTAGTAGACATGATGAGGGTCACATTGCTAGTAAATAATTTCTATGTTGGTGATACAATGTATGGCAAAAGTAACAAATTACCTTTGTACTTCCTGTTTCATTCTCAGGGGATATATCACCACCATATGAATATCTCTCTCACACACACACAAAATCTGATGTCAAATTTCTCAGATCAAGTAATTTCATAATACTTTACCTGTGTGTGTTCTAACATGAGCTTTCAAATGAGAACTCTTGAAATAGGTTTTTCCACATCCTGGATAGTTACAAACATGACTTCGTATTCTTAAAGAGTCAATGGGTTGAGCGCTCTTCGTTGCAGCAGGGGCAAAACCTGGAGCCGGAGCAATAGGGGAGAGTCTGGTGCCATTTGGACTGATTACCGGAGTCTTTGGATTCTGAACAACGGTCTGTGGCACAACAAACATAAGAGCTCCTTTGGGAACCTGGGCTCCCATGAACACCATCGGCTGACAAAGGTTTGGTGTCAGTTGACTATTGGGAGTGTTGGGTACTACTGCGGTCACAACAGAGTTGTTAGCAGGCAGCGGAACCATTTGGCAAACCAGTGGCACTGAAGAAACTCCTGCTGCTTGCATAGGAGGTGGAGGAACAAACAATGCAGACCGCTGTACTGATCCAGGGATATATACAGGGGCGCTAGATGCAGTCTGTGTGAAAGGCACTGGACTAAGTGTCAGCATTGAACATTTTTCTTTTTGTGTATCAGGCACTTTATCTTCAGAAACTGCAGAACCCACTGGCAAGTTTTCACTTGATGCTTTTTGTTCTGTTTCTGCATTGTCTTGTTGACTTGCTTCCCTCATATTATCACCCTGATGCTTCGGCATACTGACAGTCCTTGTTGGACAGGTTCTGTTATTGCAAAGCTGGACATCAGCTGTGTGACGAATGACACTTGTTGCCTGAGCTTTCAGCATTCTTGCTGATGGGGTCTTTTCAGTATCTTTAAAAGTGGCTGTAAAGCCTTGTTCAGAAGCGTCCGTAAGTTGCTTGCTCTGTACAGTAGATGGTGCTGGTGTTGCTGGATGGATTGACTGTGACATTTCAAGGTCGGAAGGGCTGTAGGGTGGAGTCAGACACTAAACAGAACAAAAACATGAAGCGATAAGAAATCCATAAAGCATAACTACTTGGACTTCAGATTGTAATCCTGTACACATTTACTTCAGAATAAGTTCCAATAAATTAAACAGAAATTCTGAATTAAAATATGAAGTACTATGCTTTAAACAGGTAATTAATAATTTTTAAAAAACTTACAAAGGCTGATATTGTAGGGAAGTCAGCGGGAGATAGCAGGTTGTCCTCAAGTTCTTCAGATGAATCAGGTGCTGGTGTTATTGGTCTCAGTTCAACATATTTCTTATAGTCTGATTTCCAACTGCAACTCATGGACATCAGAGCTTCTACAGCTTCAAAATCACTTTTTTCAGTGGTATTATTCCAAGAACGCTTCCTAATGTGCTTGTTTTTGGTAATCATCTCCATTCCTTCCTCCTTTGGGAAAAAAAGGAAAGGCTCTCAATATATATAGAGAAAATTATCTAAGCATATTTAAAAGAACTGTACTGCACTCAAAAAAAGAAAACCAATCCTGCTCCAGTGTTTAAAGATCACCCTCTTCTGGTCCTGCATCCTTTGACAGAGTGGCACAGTGGTTAAACCGCTGTACTGCAGCCAAAACTGTGCTCATGATCTGGGGTTCAATCCCAGGTAGCCGGCTCAAGGTTGACTCAGCCTTCTATCCTTCCGAGGTCGGTAAAATGAATACCCAGCTTAATGGGGAGGCAATGTATAGCCTGCATAATTAACTTGTAAACTGCCCAGAGAGTGCTTGAAGCGCTATGGGGCAGTATATAAGCAGCACGCTTTTTGCTTTTTGCTTTGGGTGGACATCATTAAACACAAAAAAAAATTGTACTGCAATGAAGATCAGCACCACACAAAAAGTCAGTTAATTCCTGCAGACTCCAACGGATTTAGCTCATTCCATACAACAATTAAACTAAAGTAAGCCATTTTTGCCCATTAGACCCAAATTGTTTATGTTTAAGTACTTTGGTCTAATCTTATTCCAAATAGACAGCAGAGAGGCCAATGGGAAAGAGCTCCCAAAATTGTGTGGATCAGTCTAGAATAGAAGCACGTGTCTTGTGTGCTATGTTTTTTTAATTGTTTTGTCTGTTGCTATTTTTGCTAAGCTAAACACAGAACAATTCTATGCAAGTCTACTCAGCTTCAACGGGATTCATTTCTAGAAAAGTGTGCATACATTGCCTCAAATGTTCCTTTGTATCTGCCCCATATGACAGCTAGAAACAGGCTTTTGCTTTGAACAATAGGATTCATCACAATGGATTCCCCTTCCTAATTAACAACTGTTTCTTCCAGTTATCTAGTGTGCATGACATACAGATAAAAATCAAGTCCTTATTCTGTGTATTTCAGTTTTAAAGCAGTGGAATATACTCAAGTCTGGAAGGGGAGTCCACAATAATGAGCTGATGTTCCTTTCCTATCAGGGGCATGTCCCAGCTGCCCATTTATACAGGTCTCACTCTGCTATAAGTAATTACATGCCATCAGGTTAATTCTATATTCTGGTGACCCTTTCCAGGGCTTTCCACTCACAAGTAGTTTACCATTCCGTGCTTGTGCAGGTGATCTGGGGTTACGTGGATTGCCCAAGATGGCTATATTGCTTTGCACATTGGTAAAGTTACCATTTCTGTTATTATGTGCACAGCTGCAGCCAGGCTGCAGAATCCATTCTAATTTAATTTCAACTTTTGCTATCTGGACAGCTCCAGAATATCAAGACACTGCATTCAAAAGAGTAACTTTTCCAAATTCTTCTTCAACCCCCACTATCCGTCCTGAAGGGGGCCGCAGGCGACTGACCTAGATTTGTTCAGTACCAGCAAAACTGCTGCATCACGTGGACCACAGTTTGGGCCTCTGTAAAGAGCTACTGCAGGAGCAACACCCTAGAAAGGGCAGAGAAGCCTGTTCGCGTTGCAATCAAGGGCAGGAACTAGATGGCAAGCAACTGGGAAAGGAACTGCACTGTACTGTATAGCGCTCGGCAAACTAAGGTTTAAGAACGAGACGGGCCCGGGAGGGAGATCCTCGCTGGCAGCCGGATCCTGGAACTCAGCCACGTTCACCTCAAACACCCTCCGAGGTGACTCACTGCGCTCATTCCAAACAGCACGCACTCTCGTCTCGAGGACGGCCCCCGCCCTTCGCCCATTGGTCATCAAGGTCACGCACCGCAGGCGCCTATTGGCTGGCGCCGGCCCAGCAACTAAGTTTCCCTGGGAGGGGCGGGCATGTGAACAAAGCGTGATCAGAGACTGCTCGTCGGCGTCCAGGAAACGTGGAAACGAGGAATTGCCGCTCGGCGACCTTTCACCTAGTTCTCCGCCGGCCAGGCGGACGCCCTGCTTTTCCATCAGGCTCCTCCCCCCTCTTCCCCCCTCCCCCTCCTCGAGGCGAAGCCGAGCGCCCGCGCGGGCAGCCGGGAAGGAATCCCGCCGGCCGGGCTGCCGGGAAGCGGCTGACGAGGCTGAATCCACATCGAAGCCGGGGGTGGAGTGTGGGTGGGTGCGGGACACAGGCCTTGAACTCAGCCCCTCGCTCCCTTCCTGCTTTTCTTCCCCCCGTGCTACTTTTATCATCCTTCAGTTATTGGACGTTTCTGAGGAGCAAATCCGCCTCCCCCGCCCGCGGTTTCCTGCTCTCGGATTAGGTCAAGCCAGGCCAGGCTTCCAAACCTCCAGTTCCGCCGTCACACCTACTTAGGCGATAAGAAGGCGCTTCTTTCACTGGGACGCGCTGGTGTCGGGCAGGAAAGGAATAAGACCGAAGCTGAGGAGTGGGGAAAATGTATTGGGCAGCTTACTCCTACCACCCCTAGGCAGCATCTCCAAAGATGCAGGATGATGGGAGCTGTATCTCAGCCACACCTGCGGGGTCGCACGTTCCCCATCCGTACTAACCCCGCATTGGAGTTTAGGGGCTTAAAAATGTCTGTGTGCAGGATCGCCCTGTAGCTCCCGCTTTCTCGAGAAAGAGTTCAGGAGGACACGGAGTCACTCGCCCGTTGACGTTGCAGGAAGCGGGCACTTAGGAGGGTTGTTTTTGTGGTGAACCTTTCTGGGCAACCGACACGGATTTCTTTCCTCCCTTATGACTCCCGCTGAAGGGAGGGCGGGGCATGAACTTCCCGCCAAGGCTCTTGGGTCACAGAATTGAGGAACCGAGAGGCGGGAGCGCGGAGGGTCGCGGGAGCAACCGGCGGGCAGGCGGGCGGCCTTCTCGCTCGGGACCTGGCTGGAAGGTCCGCTTCCTTCCCCGGATACTGCGAGGGCCACCCGCCTCCACCCCATCCAGCCCAGGCGCGCCTCCTCGCCTCGCCTCGGCCTCTCCCACCCCCTCTTTCCCGCTCTGCTGCAGCGCTGTGACTCAGACCAAGATCGGCGGCGGCGGCGGCGGCTGTCTTCGCCCCCTCTTGCTTTGCCCATCCTCTTCGTTCGCCACCGCCATGTGGGAGG